CCATAGATCTAAATCTTGATCAAGTACAAATTAAATCCAAAATGCTGATATAGCATGATAAATGGTTTAAGAGACGAAATTATACTGGACCATTTTACCTAATAAGAAATACTTTATCACCAAAGCAAAACTAAAGCCCTTAAATACATCGCTTTTGTATAAAAACCAAAGGCCAAGTTTTAAAAAGAATTAAAAAGTTATTAAATGAATGTCAAAGGACAAAGCTTTTGTTTACATTTATGGCGGCTTTGATGAAACTCTCGACCAATCAGATGGAATCGCTAAGAACTTTACAAACAAGTCATATAGCAGAGTACTAGAGGTTGTAGGTGGAATGCAGATTTTTACCATTGTGTAGGCGTAGATAAAAAACTTAATTGCATAGTTAACTCTTTAACTATGGTGAGTAGATCTTTAATCAAAACTAGTATATAAAGTTCCGAGTTCCACCTGTTTGTCTAGTTTCAAGGATCTAAATTTGCCTCAACAATCACCCCTTCATGGWGAAACYATGAAACAATTAACTAGTGAAAATTTGGCTAATTTTTTGACCATTTTAAGATGAAAAAAAAAATTAGGTTATTACATAGAGAATTCAAGATGGCGSCATAGGGCGAAGGGATGACAAGTGAGGATTCTGGGTAAAACCCAAAGCATGATTGCGGCTGTTCGTATTCGATTAAATGCTGAGAAAAGCTAAGCAAAACAGAGCAAACAAACAAACAAAATTATGATAAAAATCACGTTCCTCAGGTCAAGGTATAGAGATCTACTGTGTTTGCCACCAGTGTTGAGTGCTCATCAACGAATGAAACCGCCTATATATTGGGGAGAGCAAATATGAATCGATATTGTAATCGAGATCCTAAATATCCTCTTTACTATGGCATGTTCGATTTTTTTATTCATTTTTAATGATCGCACGAAGATATCGTCTAATGATGCTGTATTAGGCTTGGCAGTCAGTTGCTAAGGGCAGTCAGTTGCTAAGGGCAGTCAGTTGCTAAGGGCAGTCAGTTGCTAAGGGCAGTCAGTTCCTAAGGGCAGTCAGTTGCTAAGGGCAGTCAGTTGCTAAGGGCAGTCAGTTGCTAAGGGCAGTCAGTTGCTAAGGGCAGTCAGTTGCTAAGGGCAGTCAGTTGCTAAAGGCAGTCAGTTCCTAAGGGCAGTCAGTTCCTAAGGGCAGTCAGTTCCTAAAGGCAGTCAGTTC